GTTTTTTTCCTTTTCTTTTTTTTGCGGAATGTATAATTCATTTGGAAAAGGGATAGCAAGCTCTGCGGCGGAGTTACTGCAATATCTTGCCGCTCCACAAGCCAGCTCGAGCGTTTTTTTTCTATCATGATTGATGCTACGCACATACAACAGCAGTTAAGACTCAATGAGCATTTCTTGGTCATACCAGTCTTTCGATTAAATCACGTTCGCCTCTTTCTTCCTTCGCGCGGACGCCCTTGAGTGATTGTTGAAACTACGAGCGATTCCCGTATATAATTCGTATCGGGGACCCCGCGCGATCCATGATCTTTGGACTCGGTAGAGGTACCTACACGAGCAGAAGGAAATGTAGGCGTCCGCGAGAATGTAGCTCGTTCAAGGTTACCGTGAATCAATCGCCTCCGATTCTCGGCCGTTTCGCAATTGACAGCGCGCAATCGCGGGAGATTGCTGGGGACCACCTCGTCCGTAGTTAAGGGAGCAGTTAATCTTATCAAATCGATATATCTTGTCGGAATTTCTTATTCCGTGCCATTGAACTTGTCCGGCCTGTGTCGGAATATCCGGTTCTTCCCTGGAAAGTCCAAAGTCTTAAAATAGCATCACCGCGCCGAGCAACGTTACGAATAAACTACTTATGCTTTATGGTTTTTGCGCATTGCACCCTAGGAATCACCGATGCCTTTCCACCTGGAATTGCGCTCATTTTATTTTGCGTATACATACATGGAAAATGTATGTGCTCTATTCGCTGTGTGCGTAGAGACTAGTGCTGCCGCGGTTGGTGAAATGTCACATATTTTGCTGGAATAGCTGTCAATGATTGCTAATATTCAAGTTACGTATACTGTCGTGAGGTATCTTGATAGTTTTAGGTCTCTTTATAATTTCGATGAAAAAATTTTCGTTATATTACAAAACATTTGCCATAGATTTTTCATTATATGTGTAGGTTAACTTCTCTAACTTTTGCAATGAGCCTTATCATACGAACGGGATTTGGACCCATTACTCATGACATTAAATTTAATCCGAGTGCAATACCGAAAGGAAAAGCCTTAGCAATATCGCATGTAGTTCGCGTTGAAGAATTGCGCAGTGCAAATATAAGTCATTTAATAAGATGCAGTATGATACCGCAAACGTCTGTCAATGCTACTCCGTACAAGGTACAATTACATGTAAGTATTAAATGAAATTTAAGTAAAATCCCAGACAACGTTATGTCGTCTTAAAGACATCTTAAATCTGTGAAATACATTTTTACATGAATACACGCAACAATTTAAATTTCCCTTTCGCAATTTTTCCATTTTTCGATAATTGTCACTCCAGCAAATAATGCAAACTTCGGCCACCATGGGCGCCCTAAGTCCTACTTTTCCGCTATAGTATATCATCGCACGAAGCGATAAAGTTCAGTGTAAATGAAATAAAATCGTTGAACCAACATTAATATAAAAAAATGAAAAACATCAGATAGTTGTCTTAATAATCTGGATATTTAGTTCCAAATGCTTAAAATTGCAATCCATACACTGAGAAAAATATCCGATTAAATATAATCCAATTACATAACCCGAGTCGAAATTTTGGCCCTATGTTGAACCTTTAATTCTATTATATAGTAGGACCTAAGACTTTAAAAGAGGTCGAACTGCAAGTATAAAATTTACTCTTACTTTAAAACTGATAGTGTCGGAAATTTCTGCTTTTGCCAAAGATTCAAGGGAGGAGTAAAACAATATAATGTCATCAAGATAGGTTATTGCTAGTCTATATAGGTGTCTAGATCAGCTAAGTAGGTGTAAATTATCCTTAAAAGTGTCAAAATAGTACCAAAATTTCGACTTGGGAACAAACGGGAATATTCGATTAAATTGTATATCCGATGAAAAATATGATCGGTTTTTCGATCAAATTTAATCTGTAACTGCATTTTTTATTGGGTAAATTTTGTCGGATGGAACTTTTCTGATTGTCACAATTGAATGAATTATTTATATTTGTGGCAGCTCGCGATGTCAATATTTAATTCCAGCAACTTCATTTTTGTTTAATTCAACAATATTGTGTGTTCCGTGTGCATAAATTTATATGGAAATAAAACATCAGTGATTTTGATTGTTAATACTTTCTTAATAGCTTTTAATTATCATGTAAAGAAAGTTTGGTTTACACTTGTAAATGAAAATTAACGAGTGCTGTATATCCATATTTATTTACTGATGTCTTAATTTTCATTAATTTACGTACATGTTGCTTTTAATGCATATACAATACTTTTAGTGATTTTAATATACATGTTCGTTACTTTTAATGTACACTATAGTGTATGGGGAATGCGTAGATATTCAAGACATTTTTTGGAGCTGATAGAATTATCAATTTAATCTGTGCCCCTTACAATTTTTTAACGATTTTGTTTGGACTGTCAGATTATTATATTAGTGTGTTTGGCATATCCCAATCTCTCCATATTTTAATTATGATATGTAGCGTCGTTTATTTATTTAATTCGATTATATCTCGTTTTATAATCGGATGAATATCATCTCCAAGACCTTTCCGAATTTATACATGCGGCTTCTAGGACCGTGTCTTCAGAATTATTTGTAATAATTGATACGAACCGCGTTTGTACGCGAAGTCGATTGAAACATCGTTCCATTCTTCCGCAACCGCGCCTTTCAATCGAGAACACAAAAAGAAGTATGTCGGGTGCGTATTGGGGATGAAGGACATTATTGTGTCTCGGCTGAAGGAAAGACTGTCGGAAGGCTACCGTGTAGGTTATCCCGATGTAACCTTCATCATTAATAATAATCATTACGTCGGCAACACTGGACACGCGAGAGGTATCTCACGAAATCTTTATAAAAGAATTTCTCTGATAAATGTTTCCGTCGAGCAGTTTGCTTCCCGCATTTGACTTCAAGAAGTAACCACTAGGGTTGGGGAGTAACTAAAAGTTAGTTACTTTTTTGTAACTTGAACTTAACCTCGTTGCTTTTTGTTTGTCTACAACTGTAATTTATTTACATTTTGTTCAATAACTAATAACTAATGTAACATTTACATTAATAGTTACTTTATATATTTTTCAAAACCTCCACAGAATGCATTAGGCCTTGCATTTGCACATAAACGCTGTTATCGACGCTTTACAATTCAAATGCAGATTTTATATTTATATTTTTATTGCAAACGATTTGACACTTGTTCAGTAACTGTAACTGTAATGCGTTACTCTTCAGAATTTGTAACTTTTATAACTGTAACTAGATATACTTTTATAAAGTAACTTTCCCAACCCTGGTAACCATGTATAACGATTGAGACCAAGGCAGACGTGGGATGACGTCTGCGAGAACGAAATGTTTTCACAGTCAAATTGTAACCGATCTAAAAATCAATTATACATTGTTCGAATAATTCGTCTTGATAATGCATAGGTCGCGGCTTATTTTGCCGCGTTTGCGATAATTATTTTAATGTATGCGACGAAGTACGTGAAGTTCGGCTTTGCGTTCTCGATTGGAAGACGCGGTTGCGAAAGAGTGGAACGCAGTTTCAATCGACTTCGCGTATAAACGCGGTTCGTATCAATTATTACAAATCGGACCGATTGGCGTAAAACCCCCGCGACTTTTTGCATTCCGCGAACCGTCGAACGCATCGTGACGGCATTTTTCTCACTGGGAAAAATATCTAATTAAATACAATCGGATCATCCAATTACATAATAACACGCGGATATACCCGATGAAAAATATGATCGGTTTTTCAATGAAATTCCATCGGATGTATCCATAATTTAATTGAAAACGTAATCGGAAAAATTAACCATCGGAACCACTATTTAATTGGTTTTATCCGATGGAGATTATTCTCGGTGTAGAACTTTGATAAGCAGGATTATCCTGTTGATGTTGATGAGAAACTGCATTAAGAGTGTAGATTGGCTGTTTTAACGTCGCGAGGTGCGTCTGGCGTGACGTGACGTGACATAATCCCTCCGGATGTTCGCGGTGCCGCGGCCCGTCGTCGCGTTAGGGTCGCATCCGGACCGAGCCGACGCGGGCGAACGATCATGAATGAATACGGAAAGCGGACGCGTTTATTCTTTGACGTATCGATAAGGAATCGATATGAATTCGCGGCCTGTGCGACTTTTCGCGACGATCCCGGACTCCGACTTTCAAGCCTATCACACAATAGGACAGCACAGGAAATGGGAACAAAGTGCGTGCTCCCCGCTTTAGGAATAGAAATACGGAATGGAAACCTACGTAATGCCAAGAGACAGCGTTTCGTTGGCAATAGGAGTGCTGTCATCTGCCTTTTGAAACCACACGTGCCTCTCCCAGTCTCAACTGTGATTGGTCAGGTAGGTCAGGTACAGGGAACAGAGAGCAGAAATCCAACACGCATCGGAAATTCTGTTCCTATTGCCTATATTCCATATTCCATTGTACGCCGACGCACGGTCTCTGGCAAGTTGGAATTTAGTTGTTTCTCAACATCAGTGATTTTTTATTGACCGTATATCTGGCAGTTTTAATAATACAGAAAATTTATTGCGAAAAGTATCACCTCTGCCAAAGGCTTGAACCTGGACCTCCCTGCACGCTGGGCGGGCGTCTCAACTAATTCGACCACCGAGGCATGTATTTAAGAATGTTCTCATTAGCTATTCCTGTTGCCGGTGCTTCCCTATTGTGTGATAGGCTTTAGGCATCGCCGGCGTCGCGGATCGTCGCGCTGACGTCACGCTGGCGAACGCTGCGACGACGTCAGGAGCCCATGTGCAGGTGAACCCACAATCTCGACGTCGCGCGCGGCCTACGGCGACGAGACCCGGAGGCCGCGAGCGGCAAGGAGAGATAAAGAGGGAGAGAGAGGGAGAGAGAGAGAGAGTGCGCCAGAGAGTGAGAGTAGGAGTGAGATGGGGCGAAAGAGAGGCGGTAGAAGGGACCAATATGGCGAATCGGTTAAATGCAATGCACCGGCGTTACGTCCGTCAGTTCGCGAGTTGGCACGACGGCGGTGTGTTCGTCGCTTCGATATCGACACGGTCGATAACGCTCCTCTCTTTTCCTTTCTTTTCCTCCCCCTCTTGTTTTCTCCAATTCCTTTTCTCTTTCTGTTATTTTTTTTTAAATTTTAAACATTATCCCCCCCGAAACCCCGACGACGCTCGGCTCGTCAGAAGCGTGAATCCCGCGCCGAAGGAAACGGAAGGAGCGCAGACCTCTGCGGCTTTTCGCGCAGAATCACCGTCGATATCACCACCATCGTCGTGCCGATCCCTTCGTTCATCCGGTAAAGTTGAGAGAACGGCCAAGAACGACGGTCGATTGGAGATAGAGGGAGAAAGGGAGAGGAAGGCTTTCGTCGGAGTGTCACGATTGTAGTGTGTGTTACGATTTTTTGGACCGAACGCTGATCGACTGGGCCGCAGTCGGCGCGCGATCCTTCGATAATTGGTAAGCATACCGAGATTTCCTCCCTCGACGCGGCCGATCCCTCTGCGTTGATCCAGTTTCATCAACAAGACGATATTAACGATAATAATGACTTTTGTGTTCACGAGAAAATAATACGATTAGGCCAACAAATTCATAAAATCGCAATACGATCGCGCTAGTATGTTATTGCATTAACGAAGAAACGTTAATGTTAAATAACTGACGCTAGAAACTTGTGATAATGCGTTACAATAGTGCGATGCAATAATACAATCATTAACTAAATTAGTCGCATGCTAGTTTTCTTATCATACACGCGACTTTCGTCGCATACATTAATATAATAAGTTCCTGCTTGTCGAGCAGTCAGCACATTCGTCAGGTAAAGAAAAACGTATCTGCATTCTTTTTCCCCCAGTCAATAATATAGAAAAGGTCAGTAATGTAAGAAGAAAAATTGCACAGGTCTTTCTATGAATAAATTAGTTTCGTTGTTGATGAAACCGGACGTCAAGGGTCGGCGCAATATCGGCGCGCTCAATTTTTCATAGGGCTACCGAGAAAGCGCTATTCGTCCGCGACACAAATCCGAGGTACGAATCCGATCGCAATTGCACCGATCTATATCCTCGTTATTGGCGGCCAATAAAGAGGTTCTATGGAATCGGATTAACAGCGTTCGCGCGAGATCGTAAAATTCAATTGAAATGTCAACGAGGTGGTTTCGCGCGATGGCTGTCCGACGCGTGACCGTACGTTTCAATTATTTCCGATCGGCCGTCGATCGAACCCGCCCGGCACCGCTCCGAGAACGCATACGAAACAGCACATCTCACTTCCTTCCTTCCTTCATTCCTTGCCGCGTCTCCTCTCTTGCGAATCACGAGCGCACGATTTGAGTTTCGATTCACGTTCCACCCGTTCGCGACAGACTCATGGGAGCATTTAATCAACGTATTTATAGTCGTTAGACCATCCTTATGTACCGAAGGAAGCCTTGAGTCGACGCTTCACGATGCGAGCCGCGTCGTCGCGCTCCTCTGCGTTTATTTCGCTGCGCGATTAGCAAGACGGATAATCGCCCGCGCACAACGAGCACGACAGTTCGACCTGCCGCGGCTGCGTCAGCGGGGAATATCTCGCTCGATGATCGGCCACGATCACCGGCCCCGCGATCCCGTCCGGCATTTCTGGATCTCGAAAATCGTCACCGCTGACGACGCGCCCGGACGAGCCTCGGCGCGAGGCGGATACGAATTTTCGAACGCTCTCGGAATTGATATCCCCTCATTATTCGCTTATCTTCACCTTTATCTTTGCACATTTCCTTCGCGACGGTGACGTTGTTTATCTCCGGTAATATAACTGGATAGATAAATTGTAACGTGCGTTTCCTCAGCGCTGACAGACATTTGTTCGTTACGCACCGCCCGAAGCTTTAGTTTCTTTCCCCTCGCTCAACTCCCCTGCTTTTTCCTTTCACCGAGAACAATTTCCATCGGATAAACCAATTAAGTAGCGTTTCCGACGGTTCATTTTTCCGATTACGTTTTGCAATTAAATTATGGACACATTCGACGAAATTTGATTGAAGAAGCGATCATACTTTTCATCGGTTTCATATATACAATTGGACACATCCGTTTGTTATCATGCAATTGGATTATCCGATTATATTTGTGCTTTTCCTATATCTTTCGCCCGTTTGTTCGTTCTCTCGATGCGAAAGACGCATACTCTCTTAGCAAGGACGGATAACGCGCGGCTGAATCATGTTACCGTGTACACTATAGTCCATAGACCGTGGCCTGCCGTTTTCGGCTCTAAATGACACTGCTCTCCGAAACGAGAGCATGGGGCTACCACAACAAGACCCTGTCATACGCGCCGTATGTACTCGTATATCCCGCGTGACTCTATTATTATATAACGCGACGCAACGCACAATGTGTGGTAGGATTAATTATTGCACGATACGCGATATGTAACATGCGCGGGAAATATTACGAGATCGAGATTGCGACGTTATTTCCCGCGCAACGCTCGTAATAGAAAAAATTTTTCCGCTAAATGGAAAAATTTCCTGCCCTCTCTTTCTTGTGACAAGAACCGCGCGAGATTCAGTCTCGTTTCGACGACAACTTTTTTACAAACCAAAACGAGTTTTACGAGAGAGACATATTCAAAATCTTTTCGCATATGACGCACGCAAGTCGGAAAATTCTTTATTTTTTAAACAAGTTCATTAGAGCTTATAATTGAGCCAATAATTGCGCGAAAGAGACAGTTATTGTATCTCTCCGAGTAGCTCGTCAATAATAGAGGAGATTTCATTGTGGTATGATTTCATGATACGAATGTAACTCTGTTTTACTTCTGTCGTTTTTACACGTTTTAATCTAGCGATTCTAGTCTAGCAACTTTTTGCTAATAGTCTGCTAGTCTGCTTCAGTTTTACGCAGGAATTTGTTTTCATAACAATTTATATTTCGATGTCATAATTATATATATGGGGCATACATTAAACTTCAACGATGTATCTTTTATATAACTTCATTAAATCATAAGCGTTAACTACGGCTTGTGTTGTTTCATAAGATTGATAACACGTAAACGTTTTATCGAGATCACCGATATCGGTACACAGAAATAATAGTAAAATCTTGATATCGTTTAAAGTAAGTTTCTAGCGTTTCCAATAAATGTTTATCGCTTAATTTATGAGATGCAATCGTGGTTCTTGAACGAAGACTCCGGCTAATCATTGTCGCTTTCAATCTGTGGTTTGCCTTCGACATATTTAATTTAATTCACGCGTGGAAGCGTGTTACGAGGTCGCCGGCCCCGCGGAATATTTTGCGGACACATAAATAAATCGATGGCACAATCGGCGGGGAAGCGGGAGAAAACAATTGCTCATTGGAATGCGCATTTCGGCGGATACATCGCCCTCGCGGGCGGAGGAGATGACGTGCAATTTCCCTTTAGCTTCCGCGAACGCGAGGTAATTGCGCACTTTTTCAAGGTCTTTGTAGTTACGATTAACGCTACCGACAATTGTGTGATCTCTTTCGAAGTGGTTCGCGTTTGTACCTCAAGAAAACGAATCGGTACATCAGCTGGCCAGTTTTTACAATCGATTCTGATATTATCCTCAGCATTTGCGATATATTTTGTGTAGATTATATATGACATATTTAATGCAACCATAATATGCATTAATTGTGTATAGAGGAAAGTGCTCTATTATGAGACAGCAGGTTTTCAACATCAAAATTTAATCACTAATCTTTATTCCCAACGGTTACACGATCTATCGTAACAATGAATCTTCTACTAAACAGATTTTACCTCCAAGGGCAATACCTTCACGATGAGAGCGACAGGTGGTGCCTATTAATTTAGCAAAAAAAAAGAACCCCACTATCTCATAATAGGGGACTTTCCTCTATTATCCGTTTAAGGG